TAACTGTCTACCAAGACATGTATGGTTTTCCAAACCAAATTGGAAAAAAAAAGCAAGTCGTTCTTATTTTTCCAAAACGGGAACATGGAAAAAGGTTAACAAAAAAACAGACATCTGTTTTTGTTCTTCAGTTTTAAAACCAAAACGGAAAAACAAAGCTGCTGCGTTTTGTTCTATCTCTGACCAGTGTTGTATCCCTACTGGTTTTCAAACTAATTGGCTGCCTTACACGTGCTCCTGTTGTTTGCAACAGCCGTGGTCTGCGTCGGGCTTTATCTAACAAGAGGGAATGATCACCGACCCCGCAGCGCACCAGGTCGCTCTTGTGACCTCCTCTCCCTCACCCTGTACGGTCCAGCACCCTCTCCGGTAGACCTACTATGGGTTGTGTTGCCAGTGGACCAACGCCCTGGATGTCAGTGGTCGTTCCCTCTGGCTGATGAAGTCCGATGCTCCTGATTTACATATGGACTGGAGGCTCTCCGCAGCGCTCTTCCGTCTCACAAAAATAAAGGTCAGGTCGAAAGAGTAGAGAGGCTCAACAAAAATTACCCGAACCTTTTGATCCGTGTATGATTCGTTAATATACAGCTCGCCGAATTAATATACAGCTCGCTGAATTAACTAATAACAGTTCATGTTTGCTGTGTACCATTGGATGTACTGACAACTATCACTGAATTAATTTGATACTGAAGAAATTGGAGGATTCTTATAGAACTTCTGAGAAGTTCTCTAAAACTAAGACAAGTCTAAGACAAGAACTTCCTGTTCTTGTCCCAGTTGCTAGTGAGTTACAAACTGAATGGTGAGCCTCCTATTTAATCAGGCACCACCCTCGCCCAAGTGTATCTGCTGCAGGTTTCTCAAGTGTAACACACCAAGCTACACTAATTGGACATATTTTAAAACAGAAAAACAAAAACAGATGTATGTTTTTTGTTTTCTGTTTACCTGTTTTTCAGTTTTGTGGTAAAACCAAAAAACGACTTCTTTTTTTTCGATTTGAAATCAAAACAATGAAAGAACAACCCCACACGGATTCATATGGGAAAGAAGATCATTTGTGCATTTTGCTTCCTTCACAGAACAACATATTCTTGCAGAAATCTTGAATTATCATACTATTTTCTATAAAAAGGGAAATCATTATGTTTCCAGACACAACTATGAATATGGTCACATTAATAATCCAATTTCTGGTGATTAAAGTACAATTTTATTCAAGGTTTAGCTTGAGTTTATATAAAAAACAAAACGAAAAACAAAGAAAAACTGCCTGCTTGATCCCCCTGTATCTGCTTTTGAATTGTTCATATCAAATTAACTTCTGGTCTTCCTTTATGTACAATACAAACTTAAGTTAGATCAGACTTGACAACAATGCAACTTTAATTACAACTATCATACAGTAGTGACCAGCTAATAACTGTAGTAATTGCTTATTGAAGATTCAATGCAACAATCCACATTCAGCAGAGAGTGAGGGGATTGTTCATTTGTTATAATGTTGAACTGACAATGTGATTACAATTTGCCTCCAAATATTTAGAGTTAGTGTTTTCCTCTGACTCCAAATTCCATTTTACCCTTATAAACCATCAGTTTTGTAAACTATTTAAAATTGGTTTGACTGCTGACAGATTTTAATTCTGGTATTTTACAGTTTTTCTGAGAATGTTAAATGTCAGTTTCTTCATAAACACAGACTTTTGATCCAAGCAGTTTGGTTTTCAGTTAATGTTCTTGTTAAGAATCTGAATATCATTCTTTACTTTTTGTATAAACTAATGTCACATTCAACCAAGCTGCCATTTTGTTTCATCATGGTATCACTACCAAACCAGACAAACATCTCATATTTGTGAAACATTTGTCTAATAATTACATTATACTGCGTACTTAGTGTTAATTTGCCATAATAAGTCAGCAACATTTCTTACTGTACATCAGGATCTTGTCACCTCAGTATGTAATTTGATTTCCTCAGCTCTTTGCTCTTTATGCTATACTGTATACCTGTATCCATTTTTTATGTGCAATTACTTTTTGATACTTAACCCTTAAATAACGATCAAACCTCACATTTTCAGTACGTTCAAATAACCATCAAACCTCACATTTTCAATACGTTCCAGCATCTTTCAAAATATATTCCTCAACTTAATATATCATTTAGAAGGCATGACATAAAGTACACACACACACACAGACACACGCACACATATATACACCCTTGAAATGATGAAGGCACTTGCAAATGACAAGGTAATCCAAAATGTAAACAAGACTTTGGTGTTTCATTTTGACCTCATTACTTCAGATTACATTAAACTCTGCTTTTTGTCTTTTTACAAAATTAACCAAAACACTGGCAAAGACAAATCACAAAGATTTAGTGAGAAAAGATATGAAACTAAATTTAAATCAAGTCAGCATCTTAGAAGTATACAGTGTATGTATACTTTTCCTTTGAAACAGAGAGAGAACATAAAAACTGTGATATACTCATAACCCTGCTAAATACTTCATCCTTTGCTAGTTCTTTTATATAAGGTGTGTGTGGTAAATGTTGTCTTATATGCATATGATCTCAGATTAGATGGTAACTGTACACTGTGATGCCCTCTAAACCTCTTGACTGCAGTTGAGATTTTCTTTTGTGGCCTTTGCCAGCTTCCACTGACCCTCTAATGGTCCCCATGATTGTATCATAAATAGGTAAAATCTGACTTTACGGGGTTGAAATAAATGGCGTTAAAGGAAAAAAGCCTGATGACTTATGGTGCTTTCAGACCAAAAGTGAAGCGAGCGTTCGGGGCTGTGAGTTTACTTACAAAGTAAAGACGCGTAGAGCCGCAATTTCCTGTCGGGCCGCGCGAAACGAAGGCAACGTGAAGGAATTCGCGTGACTTGAATATTTTCAACTCAAGCGAGAAACTGGTATTACGCTGAGTCGCGATAGCCTATCAACGTTGAGATTGTCCGTACGTCACCGACAGCTTCAGAGCGTTGTGTGGAGAGGGCGAGGCAGAGCGGGGCGATTGAAAATCTGCTGGATGGCTGAGAGCTGCTAAACTTGGGCTAGAGAAGCAGGGAGCAGCGCTCCAGCTTTTGGACAAATAAACACCCGGGGTTGGACTGGATTATGCTCTGACAACTAAGCCGTTTGCTCGAGGGAGGAGCTCGAGTAAACTGCTTTTATTAAATTAGCTTTTTACTTTAGTTTTTGGGATTACAGTGTTGATTTATCTTCACTCGAGCTTCTCAGCAGCTAGCTTCCGTGCACATCCGGTTCCAGTGTTAGCGTCATTTGGCACTACTTCATATTTATAAAAAACGGACAAAACTGGACATTGCTGGGAGAAAAGAAAGCGAGGAGGTTGAACTACCTGGTGAGTTCAGAAAACATGTGTCTGTAACTTTATTCCAGCTATCGTTGTGCTTACTGTGACCAAGTTAGCATAGCATAGCCCTGATCGATCCAAACTCCATTCAGAAAACAAACATTTCAGAAGTTGTTGCCCTGCTGTCTTGCTGACAGACCTGACAAAGCAAGAATTCATATGTTTAACAAATCTGCATCATATTGTAGTTATTTCGGCATCAGTTTGATCCGTTTATTGCTATTTAATCACAGCAAAATGTTTACTTTGGGTTCATACAGCTGTAGTAATGACGAGTTGTGTTTATTTATCGCGTTGTGTGTGAACACTCCAGCGATTAAATCCGCGTTTGGTCTGAATGCCGCATAATGAGGCCTAACTGACGTCCATCATCCACCTCCTGCTCTCATTAGCTAAGGATATTTGAGACAGGAACACATTTCTGTCAACATGGCAAACGAGTGATAACAATTATCTCCTAATGCTGGAGAAACAATGACTCAGTGTGTAAGATTCCTGTAATGATGTCTGTCCTTTGTTCTGTGTGAGGTACATTCATTTGGGACAGACAGTTAGGAGCCCTTTGCAGCTGGTTCCCTGCATGGTCCACACCCTCACACACACACACACACACACACACACACACACACACACACAAACACACACATGCTATCCAGCACAGGAAGTGACATCATGAACCACTGGCCAAAATACAGGAAGCATGACGACAGCTTCTGAAGGACATGAGGGACACATCAGCTCTGTATAATCCACCAGCTGCTGCTACGGATCCCACACCCATGAGCGCACACACACACCCAACACACACACACACACACACACACACACACACACTTAGAGAAATTACTGTAAATTAGTGAGAGCACTAAGTTGAGCGTCAACACAGTCTACTTTGTTAAAATAACATTTTATAAATCAAACGTCATTTCTTTAAATGGTTTAAATGGGCTTTCATGGCCAAATGCTTGCATGGGTGCAAGATGAAATTTACATCATCTGCAATGTGAGAAATGTGGGAAAGTGTGCGCTTGTTGCTGCCTCATTATGTGAGCAGGGACACGTGTTTATTTACTAGGTTTGCAACCGATTATGA